TTAATTGCATGGTTATTTCTTTTTGCGTAACTTTTATTCATGTTATGGATTCTTACTATTCTTTTGTAAGACTAATATACACAATTTATTCCATTTTATATTCTGTGTTCATTATAAGGGATATGTAGCTCGGGGAGTTTTTGTCAGCTTACATCGACGTTCTTTTTTTTCCCGATTGCTAAATAATAATGACTCATTTGCTTTTATATTTAACTTTCACAGCTCTCAGTCCCTCAACGTCTACCAATCTCAATAATGATGAACTTACGGATGGATCTCAGTCATCGGTTAATGTTGCTCGACGATGGAGAAGATCTCTTTTGTCAGCACTTTCTACAATATACAGCCATCGTCATGCCTATGTATTTATGCACCCTGTAACTGATGATATAGCTCCAGGGTACAGTACTGTTGTCAATGAGCCGATAGATTTAACGTCTCTTAGGCGCCGTATGGAATCGTCACTCAGTTACCTGATTAGTTCCCAACAGCCTTCAGCTCTAAATCCATCTATTTCTTCTTATCAAGTTATCATAGAGATTGCAACACGTTTTATTCGTGATCTTTTGCTAATGTTTATGAATGCAAGGATGTACAATAGTCAAAATCATGAAGTACACCGAATGGCTGGAGAGATGTATCATGATGTCATTAGTGAAGTAAGTGGTAGGTCCTAATAATTTATCATCAAGTAATCATAGTGAGGATATCTGCTGTAAGCATCAGAACACTAATACTAACCGTTGAGTCGGGTAGTTAGAGTCTGCACAATATTTGCGACTAGTGGTTGGAAACGTTGGATAACATTACTCAGAATCAGTTACAGTGGTGGAGATGTATTTATTACTGTTAGGTCTTGAGTTCTATTATTTGTTCTCAAATTCCTTTTCATTTCTTCTCACACCGTATAATATTTAGTTTTCTTTATTGGTACTACGTTATTTTGTTTCCTTTTCTACTTCTGTATGTTAATTTCATCTCTCTGTTTTGTTGTGATATTTCCATTTGAACTAACACTTGTACCGCCCTGTACGTCGCCTACGATATAGAAAGTCGATTAATTATAAGGAGAATGATTCGAAATGCCTATCTAGTTCTTGCTCAACCTATATTTTTTCTTAGTGCTCTTCTTTTGCATACTTTAATATGGTATAACATGGTAGCTAGTATTGTTTCCGTCTTTTCTTTTAGTTAGTACAATATAATGAATTTTGTCACTTGAAATGTCACCATAGCTTTAATTAATTATTTTACAGGGATAAGATAAAAAATCCATTGAAGATAATGTTTAATTTCTTAGTTTTCTGTAATCCATTCAGTTATTTTTGCTGAGTAAGTACAGTTCGTATGTTTAGTACCAATCACAAAACGTGATTTAGTTGTGTAAATTTATTTCTTGATTTGATAAAAAGGGAACAGTATGTATGTCTAAAATTGAAAAGGTATGGGTGCAACACTTCAGTGCAACTCTCTACTGTGAACACTTAAAATTTTTGTAGGTAGATGATCTTATAGAATCAACTATTTATGATTTCTGAGACGTTTACATTTAGTCATATTACGGTCTGATTACAACAATGAATACATGATTTTATCTCATCGTTTCTGAAGTGCTTTCTACGAGTGACCATTGAACTCTGAAAATACCATGCACCATCTTGTGTCCAGTTTCTGAGCGTCCGATATTTTATGGTAAAAAAGAATCTGAAGAAAAATTATATCTTGATATTCTTGTAATGATGTATATCCCTGCTCTAACATCTGGGTTTATCTTGAAAGTTTTCTACTTCAAACAATTTCATATGTATAGTACTAATAATGACAACCATAGTTTACTAATCATTGGTTGTCTTGCGATCCTCATGTTCCCATTCACTATTCAGAGTTACTTTAAGTAGCTTGCAGTAAGAGTTGTTAATTCTTGACATCGATTTGCTTTATTCCCTGCAAAATAATATATTTAACAAGTTGTTCGTATTACCTATTGGACATTCACGTGTTCAGCATATTGAAATTTTCTTTTAAAACTCTAATTGACAACTTTTTCCTTCAAAATAACTGGTAAATATAAACGATTTATGCACAGCAACACTAAAGATGACAGTTACATGCTTTCTTAAGAACTTTTACTTATCAGGAAAAGACAGTTAAGTGGGCAGTTATGCCAGTATTTAAAATATTGTAATATAGTACCGTACCAAACCATGAAGCAGCTTGAATGTGGAAGGTCATAACTATTCTAATTTGGGTTAATCTGAGAACCCGTTCCGTATTCTGAACTATCTGAATGTATAGTCGAATCCTCCTATGATGTTTGTAACAGGTCTGTACCTGGTTTCTGAGTTACTTTTGATTAAAATTACAATCTGTTCAGTTCATTTAAAGTTCACATTTTATTCTCAATATTAGGTAACCATTATCTGGTAACTATGTATGAAGTCATTCCGTTTTTCACAAAATACGAGTGTTTGTCTTTCCACTGATTTATATATGCGGTTGTTTTGTCCTTCTCTTCATCGTATTACTGGCCGTGACCTCTGTATATTTTTGATATTAAAAGCGTTTTATTAGTAAGCATTTCGTGGAAATGTTTTCTGTTGGGTGTCTCCTAACTACTGTTAATTTAAATGGTGTGATTCTAATTATAATCCTGGCTTTGTCTAGCACCTAATGTCCCATAAAAATCTCTTGTAACTTTTCAGCTTCAACCTATTTGGTCTATTATGGCTGAGGACATCCCAGGATTCCCGTCTCTTCCTCCCGTGAATTTAGTTCCTACACAGATAACGCGATCCTTGCAACAGCCTTCTGTAGTCTCAACTACTGCAGCTGCTAGTTCCTCTCATCCTGCCTCGTGCGTGCTTAAGAATGAAGAGTTGATTTCTAGTAAGCAGTCTTCTGGTTTTGCTATCAAGCAAAACAAACGTCCAGCTCTTGAGGTAAGCGTGTGCACTTATATTTTACATATTTCAGTCTACATTGTTTCACGATAATTGAGTAATGGTTTTCTGATCAGCTCATTTGGTTTACACCCAGTGTGACACGAGTTCGAACCCCGCTTCACCTACTTCGGTCTGGGGAAATTTGTCGCATAATTCATCCGCAAGTATTTTTTTTAGCTGTTCTATTGAATATTCACTTGACTTTTGTAAATATCCGGGTATCCGATGATGAACACAATATATTACAGACATTATCAACGAGTATGTCCATTATTCCAAGTGTTTATAACATATCTAAACCAAGAAGATCAAGGTTTGGTCAGTTTTTTATATTGCATACACCAATAAAGTTGATACCAATGTCGAAAAGGTCGCACTGTAACTCACTAAAAAGTTGTAGTACACTTCCTGATGCGTTTTTCGCTGCCCTGTTTGACTTCATTGTCTGTCTCTCAGGCTAGTCATACGTTTATATAAACACCAAGGTCACATCAGATGGCGTGTCGATTTGAAGACACGTCAAGGTGCCCATAATCAGGATAGTAACGTGCTTTAACTGAATGTCTTAGTCTGTTCTGAAAGCTGCTACTAAGGAAAGGGATTTGAATTTGATACCACTGCAAGTTAAATGTTGATATACCTATTCATTGCCACGTCTGATATTTTTCAGCCGTTAGTGTGATGTTTGAGTCCTGATCCAGTTTAGTTCTAATCTCAGCATCTTGTAGTGAATAAAGAACCTTGATAACTACTAGTCATTTAAGCTGATCTGCCAGTGAGCGTAACTTGAACCGTTTAATCTCTTTGTTGAAGACATCTTCTAGAGTTCCATAATTACAGCCTTCACTTTTCACTAAGTCAAGGCATCAATATCTAATAGTGAACAATATAGATAATTCACCAAATGCCTCTGACAGTTGGGTCATTGTCTGCTCGAAACTGATTTCTTGAAGTAACTTCAATAAAATGTGGTTAGTATAGCATGGGTGTCCATCGCGTACCAATAACCGAGCCTTCTATGTATCATTTTGTTTTCAGAGCTCTATCTTAAATGCTTCTCAACTTTTGAACCACGTGGAAAAGTAAATGACAGTTTGTGAACTTGTTTGTTGCTTCAAGTTCACAAACTGTCATTTACTTCCCCATTAGCTAAAACGTAAGAATCTCGCGCCATCGATATATGCTGCGTCTCGGAAACGCGCATACAGGATCCGAGTAGCGTCATTAATTTGACCCCACCATTTCAAGATAAAGAGGCAACTCGATTTATTCTGCGTGTATCTGAAAGCCCTGATCCCGCTTCACGCTGGCGTAGGAATAGCATTGAGTCCTAGGGCGGAACTAACCCCCTTAGACTGGATCCCATGTGATAGTCGCTTGTGCGCTGTCCGACTGAACGCGACAGTAAGGATTCGGAAAGATAGGGACACTCGCTGTTGCCTCTTCGTCTTATCTGCCTACATTCCCGCTAACTGCAGCTCAGACGAGGTGAAAGATGATTTTTACAAAAAGCTTTCGGACCTCCTCTAACAAGTTAGGCACTCTTATATGGTAATAATGGCTGGTAGTCTCAGTGAAAACGAAAGACTCCTGTGTGGATCTTATGGTGTCGCAGCTAATAGAACAGATAATGGCGACCGTCTGCTGCAACTGTATTAGATAACCGCCTATTTCTAGCAAACACTAACTTTAGACTTAAGAAAAAACATCTTTTGACCTGGCGACACCCAAAGTCGTCTCAACGTTGGACCCAACTAGATCACATTGCCATCGGCTACCGATGGAGAGGTTTGTTAGAGGGCTGTTGCTCGTTCTGGCGCACATGTTTGGATTCAGATCATGCTCTAGTGCGAGCGCGTATTTGTTTGCGTCTTACTTGGACGCAGGAAAGACACCCTAAAACCTTTTAGTGTTCTACCTAATGATAGCATAGCTAAGAATATATTTTAGCAACTACTGGAAAAACAGTTAGGCAACCATGTAAGTGATCTCTATCCGGAGACAGATCTGAATGATTTCAAAAAAGCTGCGGAAACAGCAGCGATATCTGCTAGTAAGGTAAACCATAAGGCTAGGAAGAAGCCATGGATCTCAGTGGCATCCATCGAACTGACAGAGTAGTAAGTCTAACTAATACAGTATGTAAAATATTGGTCTCAGTAATACTCCGACGACTGACTAGAGCTCGTGAAGAGCAGACTAGATCAAATCAGACTGGCTTTCGACCTGAACGTGGTTGTATGGAACAGATATTCACACCGGATCCTAGAACAAAGACACACGTTTAGACGTATCGAAATAGTAGTATTTATCAACCTTAAAGCGGCATTCTACTCCGTATTTGCAGGCTCTCTACTTGAACATCACTGATTTAATTATAGTTATGGCGAAGTACTGAGACTTCATCAATTAAGGTGTTTGGATCATGTATTGCGTATGCCCAACCACCGACTGCCTCGTCGAGCGATGTTTTGTGGTGCAGGAATAGGTTGAGAGAAAGCTAGGGGCGGCCAGACCAAAACATGGCACAGATCCATAAAGTCACTGGCAACTGGATTGAGTCATGTTTGTAAGTGTCGACTACCTGGTTGGGGTCCGCGAGATGACAGTAACCGATGGTTAGAGATCTTGAATGACATGGCTCAAAACCGTTTACAATGGCGCAAGTGGATTTATTATTTGGCTTCTCTCAAATTCTAATCTCCTGGATTTGTCAACACCTCTACCTTTGTCTTTCTAAACTTATCTCACTGAATTATACTTCTTGAATATTATATCCAAATACTAATCTCCATTATCAGTAATTCTTCTACTATCTCTACCACTATGGGATTTGTATTGACAAATGCGTTTCTGTGCTAATGTGGTATGGCAACATGAACTGATGTACTTACGTACGAAGTTCTATATTGTAACTGACCGACTGACTGAAGTTGTCCGCGTATGGCGTTCTTACAACAAATACCTGTAATTCACTTAGCAGTTAAAATTTACAAAGTACTTGCAAATATAAGCCAAGCCGCAGTAAATATTCAAAATCATTAAAAACAAACAGGTTCAGGAGCTATTTCATACTAAATATTTGTTCAATGTTGATTTCATATATAATGAGACCATAAAGCCATCATAACATGTTTCTGCGTCCAGTATCTTTCGTATACATGCCACTCAGTTTTTGTGTGGCTGGTCTTTAAAATCTTGCCCGGTATGCTTATGAAGCACAAATTAGATCACTTTCTACTTGTATGCTTTTAAAACGTGTTTTATTTAGTTTATAAAATCCTTTATTTCTGTCTCTATCGTTATTTTCAGGGTCCATCTTCTAGTCCGCTGCCTCGAAAACATCGTCATTCATCTGGAAGTGATTCTGTAGTTGGCAGTATTGTAACAAGATCTAAATAAACCTATTTTTTCCATGTTTTTTATAAATGCTGTACAAGTTACAGTTACTGTAAAATATAGTACTATTTTTTTCTTCGTTGATTTTATTCTCTATACATTTTTTAATTATACATTTACATGAACACTGTATTTCATCTTGCAGAATTTATGAATGCCCTTTAAGATTAAAGCCATACCCAATTTCGATGTGACGAAAGATGAACGCGATGGAAAGGTGTGTTTTTCCTGTTCACTAACCTAGCTTTATTTTCTTGTGGTGCAATTAGCGGAGTAAGAGATTAAAAAATTGAATTTGGGTAACCAATATGAAATTGGTAAATCATTTTCAAAAACAGTTTATTTACAATTTCAAATTCCACTCTCACAGTACCATGTGGTTCTGTCTTAAGTTGTTTAAAAAAATCTTTGTTCATTAAGCTTCGTTACTTACCCGAACACTAGATAGATAAAAGTTCGTCACATAGATTGTAAACATACCCTCACAGACATTGATTCATAGAACGATTACAGGTATTGTACCACTGGTTATAATTAAACTTAAGACTTTAGGATAAACAGGAGGACACTTGAGTCGGTTTTCAGTAGTAAGAATAAATAGGAAATTGTAAAGTGATTTTATGAATGTTCATTATCCGTTAGCCACACAGTACTTTCACACTAACTATGGTAATTGAAAGTAATTTTTGGAGATCCCGACGCTATGGTTACTCTTTTTCAGTTGTTGACAACATGAAACAGGAAGTAAAGGGTTGGTAGGTAAGAGCATTAAACAGTTTTGGGTCTAACCTATGACTTCCTCCAAAAAAAGTAGTATATTTACAGTATGATGGGTTTTATGAAAGCTCACTGCTAAACGACTTACGTATTCATGCACTATGAGCCGATGATGAGCAATTTTCTAGATGGAAGGTAAGGTTTAGTAGTCGTAGTCGCACCGTTCAACTCAGAGCATTGTGTTATTTAACTTTCGTCAGTGAATCAGCGTATACTGTGTTTAAGTCCCATTTATCCTCTTGTGATGATTTTAAAATACAATGTTATCTATAACATTGCTGGTATTTTGTCAGTTCTAAGTGAAATATGGCTAGTTGTAATTGTGTTTGGAGAATAATTTATAATCTGGTTTACTATGGGGCTTGATAATTTATGTAAATAAGCTAAGTGTTTGAAATATTTGTTAACTGAGTAGGCTAGCTGATCAAAATATTAGTTGTAGAAGCTTGGCTGGTAATTTTTCTTCAGTCTCAGGACTGAGCATAGAAAAAACGCTTGCGGATCAGTAAATCACTGGTACAACGTTAACCGCAAGTCAGCCCGTAATTTCGGCAGGTCTGTGAACGGAATCTCAGAAGTAATTGCAATTGTAATTCTGATTGGCATAATTCTCATGTGTTGTCAATTAACAAATGAAAACAAAAATAGTAGATTGCCGTATACTACGTGTTTGATAAATTATAATCCCTGATTAGGGGGATGAGTGTCACCTTGCTTTTTTGATGTTAAAAATCATTTCTTACCAAGAACAGTACTTAATCTAGTGAATTAAAAAACAACTTTGTAAAAGTATTGAAGTGGTTGTGCTTGTTGTAATACTATCATATAGTTGTAAATTATGGTAATATTAGATCTATAGCCATATTTTAGTTATCAGTAGTTCGTGTATAAAATTATTTTCCTAATTTCTAAAGGTTCGTGATGTATGTGACCATGCCGTTTGGAGTCTTTCTTCGTGTAAACCAGGTCATGGTATTGACCAATTGCTGAGTGAATCTACTGATACATTTTGGCAATCAGATGGTCCACAACCACATTGCGTTAATGTTCAATTTCCTCAAAAAATGGTTCTTTCCAAATTATGTTTATATACAGACTACAAAGTTGATGAAAGTTATACACCTAGCAGGTTAGTTTGTAAAGCATAATAAATGGTAAACCTAATATTTTTTTTAAATGTGAATTTTCGTAATTCTTATTGTGATCAATGTAATGTGTGACAATAAATATCGTAGCGCATGTAATGAATAACTCAAATGTCTATAAAACAACAGAAATTTGAACCCGTTTCACACTCTGCGACCTTCCAAACAGCTTCGTTTAAAGGATTTATTGGCTAATGTATTGTGCATATAACAGTTGATGAGGAACTACTTTCTGTCTGAATAGTTGATGAGCGGTTTGCTCAGCAACAGTGGCACAGAATTTGATGTCAGTATTCAGTTTGCAAAGGATTTCCTTGTGAGTGTATCTACATCACAATTTTTGCTGCTTACATTAATTCTATCTCAGCTTTGGAGTTAAAGCCTATAAGTAGTTTTTCGAATTCCTGGTAAGAACAAAGACAGGTGAATGATATTAGCCTTGACTGATAAGAAGGGACGTTTCAGATTATTTTATTGGAATTGGGGATGTTTGTTTCTCTGTAGCATGATTTTTTCAACGTAAAACTACCTTGTCGCCCTGCTGTCAACAGTTTATCATCAAATATTATGCTGCAATAAGTAGCATTACTATTCCTGATGATATATATTAGTGGATCTTACTATTGCTAACTGCATTATTGATTTGTTTATCTCCGTTTTCAGGTTAGCCGTACGAGTTGGGAACACTATCCACGACCTCATTGAACTTCTGGAGGTTGAACTACAGGAACCTACTGGGTGGTCAGTAATTCCATTAAACTGGCCTGATGGATCTCCTCTAAGAACCTTTCTTTTACAGATTGCCATTTCAGCTAATCATCAGAATGGTCGCGATACACATCTGCGTGCTATCCGACTTCACAGTCCTGTGGAATTTCGTGGCCTAGACACTTTGGCGCCTTTTGTGAGTCGCGAGGGCCGTGCTTTCATGACTATTCGTTAGTTTTTATTTCTATCGTCTATTTGTAATCCAGTTATCGATCGTCCTGTGTATCATAGGTTCCCAGTGCTATCTAATTACTTTGTTTCCTTTTCTGGTTTTTATTCGCCGTGTTTGTTCACTGTTGTACTTTTCTAAGGTGAATGGTTTGCTGTTTATGCTGTTTTTTGTGTAGATTTAACTACGTTCTCAAAAATCAAAAGTTTGTGGCTGTTTATCCACTGTAAAGTTTCGCCTGTTTGTTGTGAATAATTTTGTATTAGTATTTTATGTTTCTATTACTCCTTTCAAAAAAATATATTAATTTTTTCCTGACGTCGTAAATCGGTCAATTGAGCGGAATCACGACTCTTAATATAGGTACAACATTTAAAGCTGAACGACTAATAAGTTGGAAATATTTTAGCTGGTATTATCACAGAGTGTTTGGAAACTAATCAACCGATAACCTGGCATACATGCCCAAGAATATGTGGCAGGAATAATTTCTTCACCGGTTGCGATAACTTTTACGTTAGTAAAACAAAATTTAAGCTTGAACGTTCCTATGAATGCAGGTACTTCACTTAGTATCACTCCTAGAAACAAAACCGTGCTAGGTTGGCAGTTTTTTAGCTAAACTTTAAGCTGCCAATACAACTAAAATCGCGATATTTGGGTAGCCAATGCTAACACTGGGTTTGGGGTTTGAGAAGCCTCCTCTCTGTGTGTCTACCCAAACGGATATTACCCGACAGACTAGGAGTGGACATTTTTGAGAGATATGAATTCCTAACCGGTATTTAGAAATGACACTAAGATGAAACTTTAGGTTACTCGAGTAGTAGACACAGCTAATAAGCGTCACCTATAAGAATAGAAGTTACTGGCCGCCATAGGGAATGAGAAACCCAACCGTCGTTCTATCGCGAGTAAGTACCAAGCACCTAATATTCAAGATTCCGAAAATATCTGTAATGACATGTTTATGGTGTAGTTTCGTTTTCTGAGCTGCACGGTGTAGTTGTGTACATTTTGTCCTTTCAAAGAAGTTGATTTTTTCGTTCAGGTTTAATTTAAGAAATACCACACACGTTCATAGCCGGCATGTTCAAGGTCTCAGCTTTGTTCACACTTACATTGTTGACTATCTGATATCAAATCCTCGCAGCAAATCCCATATGTAGTATCCGGACTTTGTTTTGATTAAATCGAAAGGTAAACTTATTGTAGACATTCACGGACGTCAGATAGGCACCAAGAAAATGAAGTGGCAGGCATTCTGAATTGCGCTGCACTGAACATTGTCTGGGTACTGTGTATATCCGGTCGGGGACGCCTCAGTATTCATTGTACAATGACAGTATTTTTATGCTCAATGTAAGGCCGCGAATTCGCTCTGTACATATAAGTCTCCTTTTTCCTCTCATATCGTGTTCATTTTTAGAATGCATACAACTAGGCTGTACCTCACAGTTAATTTCAGACGTACAACACGTTTCTGATGAAGACTCCTATTCAGTCACATCACCATTTAATGATTCCCTAGGAATCAGCCTTCACAAACTCGTCTAGCGGCCAATGAACCCTGAATGATTAATGTACATGACTTGGCAACATAGACACAACAATTATCGTTGGACTAAATACAGTCTGTTTTGCAAAGTAACTTCCATACGACGTACTACGACAGCAGTTAAGTTACATCTTCCCCAGGGAACATGTGATGGCTGTTTGGATGTTCGTATTAATTTAGGTTACTGAGTATAATTCATCAGCAACTTTACCTCTGTACGATCAAGTGACATCTATGGGGCAAAAATCTATATATGCGTTAGCGGCATCACATGAAAAAAAGAAGAATCTTACAGACAAAATTCATATATTATCACCGAAGATATAACTGCACACATTTTGTTGGCAAAAATGGGCCCTACCACATAGATTTTCACGGTTTCATTTTCATAAATTTGAGTGTAAGTAACTGTGTTGTTCATAATTCGAACTGTTGGATACAGTTCAGCTCAATGCACTTCGTTATGGCTTGCTGAGACAATTTGGGCTAAAGTTAAAGTAGGACTTGAATTAAGGCTCTGAGTAAAGTGTGGAGAAGCTAGTGTTTCTGAATCGCTTACAAGAGCGGAACTACTAGGAGTAATCGGTTCATCAAGGATCTCCAAACACTTGGTTGGACTTGTTTGTATTTTTATTTTATTTGAATCGGTACACAAACTATTAGGTTGTTCAGAAGCTCTGGGTGACTCTTCAGGTTTAACTTCTTGGTTATGGGTACTTGCGACCTTGGTAAGTAAAACACACAAATCGGAATGCAAATAAGCACAACGTCTATCATTGTATAAACTCTGAACGAGTCAAACTATGCGTGAACATAATCTGAGTTTATTCTTCAGTGTTTTTCACGGTATTCGCCCATTTGTAAGAGTGAATTTTCACAAATATATACATATAAAAAACGTCAACTTTTAGCGGTCCCAATCACTACCAGTAGACGCCAGTAATAATAATGTAACAAGGTGAGTTTGAAATGACTGATGAACGGACTTGATAGGCACTTCCGAGAGGCAAAGAAATGATCTACGTTCTCCAGTATATTTAGCCCATATTCAGTTATGAGTTGCGTATAGTTGACATTTTAAACACTTAGATACAAAACATGACTTAGATGCACAAAAGGAATGAGTAACTTTTGAAGTAATCCGAGAACATATATCATGAAATAGACTCAATCAGACACTAAATCATATGGATTGTGATAAACCTAATAGAAATAGAAACACGTAACAGTATTACAAAAAGGTGATGTTTCGAAAACAAATATCTATTCGGAAAACATAGTGATCTACAACATATCAGTTTCCTACCCATGGGTTAATCAAATATTACTGATCAGCAGATCTTCCAATCTCCTACTGGTTTGTTTGAACGACAGTGTTTACTAAGCAGCGATTTTAGTGGCATAGACATAGCCATGCTTTTAGAGATGACATTATCTTCGCCTGAATTTTCAACGGTGGACCTTCTACCACGAGACTCGCTTGTTGACTTACAATACGCCGATGACATAGTTCTATTTGGTAAAGACGCTGACAAAATGCAGTCTTCTGACAACCCTAAGCAACAATGCAAGTATGTTCGGGATGCGATTCTCCCCGTCGAACTGCAAAGAGTTGCTTCAGTATTGGCTTGTATCGGCACCTGAACTAGTGATAGGGAGTGAAGTAGTTGAGTGTGTTGACCGCTTAACTTGTCTTCCGAGTCACATTAGTGCTGATGGCCTGGTGACTGACGAAATCTCAGCATGCATGCAGAAGGCTCAATTGGCTTTTGCCAAATTGATCCGTTTATTGTACCAAAGTACGAGTTTACTGAGGAACAGTCCGTTCTGTCCTACTTTATGACTACAAAACATGGCCAGTCACAGTAGATATTCTACGTTATTTATTTTCGACCGAAGGTGTACCGGAAGTATCGCTTATTGTTTATCTTACGACTATCGAGTAAACAATGCAGTTGTTACGAAACGAGTACTAGGTAAGGATGGCAGATCAATAGATGAAGTATTGAAAATCCATCAGTTGAGGTGGTTGGGTCATGTGTTACGTATGTCCAACCACCGACTGCCTCGTCGAGCGATGTTTTGTGGTTCAGGAATAGGTTGAGAGAAAGCTAGGGGCGGCCAGACCAAAACATGGCACAGATCCATAAAGTTACTGGCAACTGGATTGAGTCATGTTTGTAAGTGTCGACTACCTGGTTGGGGTCCGCGAGATGACAGTAACCGATGGTTAGAGATCTTGAATGACATGGCTCAAAACCGTTTGCAATGGTGCAGGTGCATTTATTATTTGGCTTCTCTCAAATCCTAAGCTTCTGAATTCCTCATAACCGTTGTTTCTTTTTCTTAATCCATATTTTTGAGGTATACATCTCGAATGATATATTCGACCATGAATCTTCTTGATTACTGCTCGTACTTCTACTGCTTCTACTACTATGGGATTAGAATTGACAAATGCGTCACTGTGCTAATGTGGCATGGCAACTTGAACTGATGTACGTACGTAAGAAGTTCTATGTTGTAAGTGACATTGACTGACTAGTAACTCTTCAACAATTATAGAAAATGAACTACTAAATGACAAGAGCAAAACATATATATTTGGATATGCATACCTCTGAATGAGTCTGGATTGACGATGTGGTATCTAGACTTGAGATTTCATCATCCGGTCTTTCGAAACCCAGTCTTTGTGAAATAACAGCTTTCATAAAATGAAATAAACAATAGAAAAATACTGAAAATGATCTACAAAATAAATAGGCCAACTACTAACAAAAATGGGGGGATATGTGGAACATATCCATAGAAATCCTCCTAAAGATGAAAACCCTGATAAGTAGTTTTAGTCGAGGACCATATTACACAGCCACAACAATCAGTTCCTCTTGATTTAACTATTATTTGCAGTTAGAGCCAAGTTATTCTAAAAACCGGATGTTGGCCCCATAAGACCTGAAAAGCATGGAGTTAGTATTTGAAGTTGCTTACAAATCGAATACTAGGAGAGAGTAGGTGTTTACTGCTTCCTAGTTTCTAAAGGCATTTAAACGAGTCTATCCATGAAGAAGACCACCTACAAGTACTCTGACAAATGTATCTGGGGAACCAATAGTAACGTAGGTGTGTCAGGTGAATTGATTTGAAGATTCAGACATATCAAAGGTTTGTGACTCGTTATTATTATTTAAAAGGTCAGTTCATTAGTTCACTGGTTGAAACTTATTCATCAAGTTTAGATTTCAAGCGGCGTCTATTCTAAATTTTATTTTGCTTTTATTTTGCTGGAGCTTTAAACATTTGCCTGTATGGAGTTAATTGTATAGAATTTCAACCTTGAACGATCATTTCACAAAATGTCAATGGCGATCCTCATATGTCATTCGAATACGCAACAAATGCTCAATCGATGAAGATCTGAACATAAAGCTGGAACCAATTCTGGAGATTAGCTCTCCATCTAGGTCCATTTATAGTATTTTGGAACCTAGGTATCAGGTTGAAGCTATATCATCTTTCTGAAAAGTCTTTTTTCTTGAACGTCTGACTCAAGAGAATTACTGCAGCCTAGATACTTAGTACAAATTTTCCCAATACTTGAGAATGATGTTTTATTCAGCAGGCCTACGATGGTCTATTGTATCAAGAAACTTTTAGTCGATTTTTCAAGACACACTGCAGCATTAGGCTGATCTGCGACAAGTTACACTTGGCTTACAAAGAATGCACTTGGTAAAGGAATGTTTGAGTACTACCTGCTTAACTGTCCAAAGAACAGAGTAATTCATTAGGCAATACAATCTTCGGACATTTGATAAAATCAGATCAGTATCCATTGCGAAAATAATCTTTCGACATCTTCATAACCTGAGTAGGATCGGAATAAAATAGATTTGGAAGTGTGATTTGTTTGTAGCTGAAGTAATAGTAGTTCATTATTTCAGTTTACGATTTCTCAGGCAAATAAACAAAGATTTAACGTTCAAGTTCGGCTAATTCTATTCCTCTCCTGTCTCTTTTGTCACTTCTCAGAACACCATTTTAGAGGTACATCCATGGCACCTTCACGCAAAATGCACCTTCTGTACGCGCAGGTCTGAGTCACAGATTGCATCAAGCGCTTTAGAATTTACACTTTCCAGTAAATTTATTCTTGAATTATGCAAAGCACCGAAGAACTCTATTGCGTACGTAACCTATTTGTACTGACTTATTGAAAATATGTGTCAAACTGTTCCTGTCAGTAATAGGTCTATATGTCTCGACCGAAGCTGCTACCTTGACGTGGTGGTCGGGCTTGCCTATCGTGATGGCCCAACCGAGCTATACTGGCTGGAACACATGTTCCTGCAGGTCCTACCGTGCCAGACAGGTCGATTGGAGAACGATGAGACTAAAAGCAGCTACCCAAGGTCTGAGGGCGAAGTCGTACTGCTGACTGCAGAGGGGCTTGACTGCACTAAGGTGTTTCCCTCGGACAACCAGCATCCACAGCGATACTGCCTTCTCACAAGGAAGGAAGGGTTAGAAAAAGTCGGCCCTAAAAATGCCACACGTCCCCTACCTCACGGATTTCCGTCTCCCTGGGTAAGGGTGCCCACTAAGGGCCTTTAAGAACGGAGCTAATCCTCTAAATACCTTTCATAAAAAGGCCGTGCGTGACCGGCCTCAAGCAGTTGTCCCTTGGGCTCTGCAGTCACTCACCAACACTAATCCATCTTCCTTTTCAGGTCCCTCAAGAAACAACCTTCCATGGTGAGGGCAGCCGGGAAGTGACAACCGCCCTCATACCCGTGACAGCACGCGAGACCGAATTGGTCAAAATCAAATCCTTCCTACACCCCCTAATGTCTCTCTTATCTCTACGACTAACTCTACTCACACTCCCTTTTCTCACTGCACCGCTAATGCAGACGAAGCGAGATCACGAAACGTCGTTCCTGGTCTCTTGAAACCCCGTTCTAAACTACATGTTGGAGCATTTAATGTACGGACATTGTGTCAAATACGGCAACAGGCATCATTAGCTAGGACTTTAGAAACTCATGCCATCGATGTATGCTGCGTCTCGGAAACGCGCATACAGGATCCGAGTCGCGTCATACACTTGGCCACAACATCTCAAAATAAAGAAGCAGCTCGATTTACTCTTCGTGTATCTGGAAGCCCTGATGCTGCTTCCAGGAGTCTTGCTGGTGTAGGCATAGCATTGAGTCGTAGAGCTGAACAAGCTCTCCTTGACTGGATCCCAATAGATAGTCGCTTGTGTGCTGTCCGACTAAACGGGACAGTAAGGACTCGTAAGGATAGGGACACTCGCCGTTGCCTCTTCGTCATATCTGCCTATGCCCCCACTGACTGCAGTGCAGACGAGGTTAAAGATGAGTTTTACAGAAAGCTTTCGGACCTCCTCCAAAATGCTAGGCGCTCTGATATAGTATTAATGGCTGGTGACTTTAATGCTCAAGTAGGTAGACTAAGTGAAAAGGAAAGACATCTTGGTGGATGTTATGGTTTAGCGACTGAGAGAACAGACAATGGCGACCGTCTGTTGCAACTATGCTCAGATAACCGCCTATTCTTAGCGAACACCAACTTTAGGCATAAGGAAAAGCATCTTTTGACCTGGCGACCGCCGAAGTCGTCTCAACGTTGGACGCAACTAGATCACATCGCCATCAGCCACCGATGGAGGGGTTCGATAGAGGACTGTCGCTCGTTCTGGGGCACATGTTTCGACTCAGATCATGCTGTAGTGCGAGCTCGTATCTGTTTGAAGCTTACTGGACGTAGGACAGACACCGTAAGAAAGACTCTTAGGGTTTTACTTAATGATAATCAAACCAAGAAAATACTTCAGGAGCGACTAGAAAGAGAGTTACGCAACCATGCAAGCAATTCCCATCCAGAAGCAGGTTGGTATGTTATCAAAAAGGCAGTGATATCTGCTAGTAAGGTAAACCATAAGACTAGGATGAAGCCGTGGATATCAGTCGCATCCACCGAACTGATGGATGCTCGAAAACTCATCCCACCTGACTCTGAGCATGATGAAGAGCGTAGTCAGCTTAGACGTAGACTGATAAAAAGTCTGCGTAACGACCGCGAACAGTGGTGGGTGGCGAAAGCAAAAGCGATGGAAAAGGCAGCGGCGATCGGCAACAGTAGACAACTTTTCCGACTTATTAAAGAAACTGGTATTAGGAACCCGAATAAGTGAGACTATCTCGGAAAAGGATGGTCTTATTATCCATTCTCAATCCAGGAGACTGGATTGATGGGCAGAACACTTTAGGGATCAGTTCAACTGGCCACGAGCCACTCTTCGGTTACCCACGATCTCCAGTCATCCTGAATGGCAAATCGACGTAAGTCCCCCTTGTCTTAATGTCGTTGAGAAAGCGTTAGGAAATCTGAAACGAGGACGAGCTGCAGGTCCTGATAGACTGACCCCTGAGATATTTAAAGATGGTGGTCCAGTTTTAGAAGCTAGGTTGACTGAGATCTTAGGTAGAATCTGGGAACTGGACGTAATCCCATCCGACTGGTCTCAATCCTTGATTGTCCCAATCTATAAGAAAGGACAAAAGTCTTCTTGTGACAGTCACAGGGGAATAAGTCTAACTAATATAGTATCTAAAATATTGGCCTCAATAATACTTCGACGCTTAACGAAAGCTCGTGAAGAGGAGACACGAGAAAACCAGGCTCGTTTTCGACCTGGACGTGGTTGTATAGACCACATCTTCACACTCAGACAGGTCCTGGAACATAGACACACATTTAGGCGTCCTACAATAGTTGTTTTCCTGGACCTTAAGGCGGCATTTGACTCAGTGGATCGTGAGGTTATGTGTCAGTGCCTGTCATTGAAAGGTGTACCAAAGAAGTACATTAACCTTATACAAGCCGTTTACTCGAACACCACTGGTCGAGTAAGGGCTTATGGCGAACTGTCACGGGATTCTCTACTTCAAGTGGTGTCCGTCAGGGATATCCACTCTCTCCATTCTTGTTTAATTTTATCATAGACATGCTCCTAGAAATAACATTATCCTCGTCTGAATTTTCAGGAGTAGACCTTCTACCAGGTGGCTCGCTTATTGACTTAGAATATGCCGATGACATAGTCCTACTTGGTGAAGATGCTGACAAAATGCAGAGTCTTCTGACTATCCTAAGCAACAATGCACCTGAACTAGTGATAGGGAGTGAAGTAGTCGAACGTGTAGACCGCTTCACTTATCTTGGGAGTCTCATCAGTGCCGATGGCCTGGTGACTGACGAAATCTCAGCAAGGATACAGAAGGCTCGATTAGCTTTTGCCAACCTGCGTCACTTATGGCGTAGGCGTGATATCCGTTCTCTAATCAAAGGACGAGTGTACTGCACAGCAGTTCGCTCCGTTCTCCTATATGGCTGTGAAACATGGCCAGTGAGAGTAGAAGATATTCGTAGGTTACTGGTTTTCGATCATAGGTGTCTTCGAAGCATTGCTCGCCGTTAGGAAACGAGTTCTAGGTAAGGATGGCAAATCAATAGATGAAGTAATGAAACTTCATCAGTTGAGTTGGTTGGGACATGTCTTGCGTATGCCGAACCACCGACTGCCTCGACGAGCTTTATTTTGTGGTGTAGTCGTAGGTTGGAAGAAAGTTAGGGGCGGCCAAACCAAAACATGGCAGAAATCCATGAAGTCATTGACAAGTGG